AAAAAAAAAAAAAAACCAAAAAAAAAAACCCCAAACACAAAAAACAAAAAACCCAAAATAAAGTCAGTAAATCTCCTCAAGACCTAAGGGTGGAAGACTTAGTTAATTGGAAAGAGCCTAGTCAGTTATCACCCTTGGCAACTCTCCACACCGTAGGAAAGCAAAAGAAAAGCCCCCCGCCGCCCCCGCGCGAACTTCCTGCAGATGCCATCTCTGGCTGTGCCCACCCTCCATTCTGGTACCGGGTATCGAACTCGGATCCTTGTGCTTGTAAAGCAGGCGAGCTAAATCCCCAGCCTCGCCCTCCATTCTTGAGGGTGGACCTTTTATTTGGGGGATGGGGGGTAACCGGGATTGGACTCAGAATTTAACGCTTGCAAGGCAGGCTCAGTGGCTCAATTCCTGTTCCCTAGGGTTTACTTTTCCTATTGATCCTTACAACCTCTGAGCTCTGTCTGCTTGGAATTCTCCCAAGTGCATTCTAGCCTTAAACCTAAAACTGCTCCTCAACTCCTAACACTGTCCTTGAGCTTTCTTATCAGTCCACTCCTCGGTGGAGGGTACTTTCCTTTTAATAAATCTCTGCCTTTCTTACTACGTATAATCAATTCAGTGTTCTGGATACAAAGAACCTGGATATTGGGTGGGAAAGAGACACCTGTCTGGGGACACTATGATGGCTGCTTGGGTTGCTTTGGCCTCGGCTACTCTCACCAAGACCGAATGTAGTACGTATCACTAGCCCAGGAAATATCCGAAATTCAAATTTAGAGTATGGTTATGGCTTTTGAGCCATCATAAAGTTAAGATCCTTAAGTCAAACCTTGTAAATTGGACATCTGTACTTCCTAGTCTAGGCAATCTACTTAAAAAAAAATTTTTTTTTTTTTACTTTTTTGGTACCACGGATCGAACTTGGGGCCTTGCACTTGAGAGGCAGGCGGTGGAACCACTGAGCTAAATCCCCGGCCCTAAACGTGTTACTTTGAATCTTATGAAATTACACGTCCTCGTTTATACCCTACAAAAATGGAAATTTCATAAAATTAGGTGTCATCTCATTTCTCCCTCTCCAAAAAAGCCCTTTGAAATAGGAGTCATTGTCTCCACCTCGAAAATGAGAGAATTAAAACTCAGCGTGAAAAGTCTTCTTTTGAAAATGCACAAGCAGTAAGTGCTACAACCGAGCTTTGAACCTACCTTGTTTGGTTAGAAGGCTAGGTGGCTTTCCAGCCCTTCAAAGTTACCAAAAGAGCAAAGGAGTTAAATATAATAGGGGCGGGGGTTTAGTTTGGGGTGCCGCCGCCTGCCACGCAAGTGGAAGGTCCCGAGTTCGATCCCCGGTATATATTTTTGGTACATATGAATATATATTTGAAGGACGAGATTCCAGAGTTTACTGTCAGGTTAGAGGATCCTTCCCGTATACACATTACTTGGAGGGTCTTTCCCGATCATTCATCCCAGCCACAGGAGGCGCCAAACGTAAACATTCTCCCTCCTAAAGCTCTAGGAGCGCCACAGGGCCCCTCTTCTTTCTGCACGCGTCTTCCGCCCTCTACGGCGCAGGCGCCACTCCTGGCTCCGCGCTCCCTCCCAACTAGAGATCAGTGCGCAGGCGCCCCAGGGCTGGCGTCGCGAGTGGAGGCGAGCCCAGTCGCAGGCTACGCGGCGATTGGTTCGGACGTGACCTCGTGACTCGGCGCCTCCTCGAGAGCGTGCGCAGAGTGGTCCAGCGCGCCCGTGACGGAACG